CGCACCTTTGCTTTCCAGCGGGATCCTGCAGCTCGCGAATGCCAGCTACGGGATCAAGCCTCTGGAGGCTGCAGCCGGGTATCAGCACCTTGTGTACCCAATGTGGAATGAAAACAGAGAGAGTCGGCTGTTTGCAGAAAACAGCTCTCTTGCCTGGACTGGGGAGGTGTCACGGAAGCCAGAGGACGCAACAGCAGTGAGTACACCTCCTGGCCGGTTGGTCTTTGGGACACCTGTAGCCAAAGGGTGCCTCAGTTTGTGCAACAGCGTGTTTCTGAGTTGATTTGGTACAGCAGATGCTAAAGGGCTTCAGAACTCGTCTGTGCTAAGGATGAGGTCTCTGCCTGCGACGGGTGGGAGCTGTGAGGGTGGTCCACGGCTGGGCAAGCAGGACGGGGATTTCTTGGCAGCAGTTATCATGCCAGAGTCGACTCTGCCTGCTTATTAACGGTGGGAAGAGAGCCAGGCAAGCGGGGAGGGCATGTTCCTGCGCTGGAACTTAACCTGGTGGGCCAAAGGCAGCGTGCAGAGCCGGGGGGGCAGTGGTCCCGGCAGGCGGCTGGTGTGTGGTGCTGCTGGGTGGCCGCGTTCAGAGCTGCTGCCAATAGGAAGGATTCAAGGTTTGCCTCTGCTCTCTCTTGCCTTTTTTCCATTGGACTGTGGCCTTGCCAAAATGTTGTTGTAAATATGTCTGGAATCTGTGGCTGAGGATGTCACGTTGTAGATGATGTGAGGATGGTTTTCCTGGGAGTCTGTGGCTGTTCTACAGCTCCAAATGGCCACGAAGTGCAGTAACTGACCGAGGACCTAAAGGTCTCCTTTGCAGAGCTGCTACGAACTGCAGCAGCTCTGCCCTAATGTGTGCCGGGGGTGCTTTTGTTGCTTAGTTTGTTTTGTTATTTGGTTTTCCTAAAGAGTAAGCAAGCTGTCAGTAGATCCCCTCGGTATCTGGAAACGCACGCAGTTCTGGACAAGGCTCTGGTAAGTCTTTGCATCCTCTCTGCTGTAAATCGCTGCCTCTAGAAAAAACTTCTGCGCGCAGCAAGTCCATAGCAACGTCAAGGGCAATTTGCACGAGGCTTGAGAGCCCTCGTGCAACGGGAACGAACTCCCTTGGGCACGGACAAGAGTACGTTGTGGCAGGGACCACAGCCAGCGCTCTCGGAGAGTTGCCTTGCACGGTGCCCTGACGCGCTCTGGCCTTTGTCGCCTTCCAGTATGACTATATGGGAGCAGACAAGGATGCCGTGACGGCCAGGATAGTGCAGCTCTTCAGCTACGTGAACAGCGTAAGTTGCTTTTGGTCGCATCCCGAAGGCGCATGCGAAGTGTGGGGGAGCGGTATGGATAAGGCCCCGTAGCTAAAGCAAGCGGGAGGCTGCGGAGCAGCAGGGCGCTGTGGACCAGCCGTGGTGTCTGTCTGTCTGCCTGCCTCCAGATGTTTGCTCGCCTCAATCTGACAATAGTACTGTCTTCTCTGGAGTTTTGGACGGAAAAGAACAAAATCCCAACCACGGGAGATGCCGAGGAGTTGCTGCAGAGATTTTTGCAGTGGAAAAATGTGCATCGTGTGTTGCGGCTGCAGGACATAACGTTTCTATTTGTGTAAGAAAGACGAGGATGGCTGTGTTAGTGTGGAAACGAAAGGAAGAGGCAGGTGCCGCTATACGGTGTGTCGGACTGGGTCTGCTCTGTTCCCAGTTACAGGGACCAGTCCCATTACGTGGGGGCATCTTCTGTGAGCAAGCTGTGTCTCAGAAACCATGCTGGAGGGGTTGCCTTGGTACGGTACCACTGAGCTGGCTGGCTGTCCCCATAACCTCCCGTGCCTGTAGGTAAGGTGGCGAGCGGTGCCTCAGGAGCTAAGCCCCGCACGCAGCCCGAGGCCGAGGAGCTCCAGGTGGGAGCGGAGCCCCGCCAGCCATGCAGCAGAGGCGCCGGGGGGTGCAGACCGGGTGCCCCCCGGGCTGTCGGTGCAGGAGCCCTTACGCCCAGCAGCCCGCCAGAGCCCCGAGGGAAGGCGCTCGGGTACGGCAGCACCGGTGGGCTGAGGCCAGTCCTTGTCCCCCTTGCAGTACCGGAGGGCTATGACGCTGGAGGCATTTGCAGTCGTCGTGGCCCGGCTGCTGGGGCTCAGCCTGGGGATGGGGTACGACGATCCCAGGAGCTGTCGCTGCGCAGGAGCCGCCTGCATAATGCAGGCCAGCTGGGCGTAAGGCTCTCCCTGCCCCCTCGGCGCATGGGTGGGTTGCGGCGTGATGGCCCAAGTGGGGTGTGCTCCCGGCGGGTGTGCACGGTGCCCGTCTGTGCGCCGCCGCCTGCGAGGGGCAGAGCAGGGGACGTGTGCAGGAGCGGGCAGGGACGGAGGGGGCAGACAGCGGGCAGCTCCTGGGGGCAACCACAGCGGAGAGCAGCCACCCCGCGTCACCGACATCTTCTGCGGGCGAGGAGGGCGCGCAGCCCCAAATGCAGACCGTGGTAACAGCAGCCCTGTCCCCTGCCTTGCAGACACTCGGCTGGCGTGAAAGCCTTCAGCAGCTGCAGCGTAAGAGACTTTCAGCGTTTTCTCGCCACTGGAGAAGGGCAGTGCCTGCTGAGGCCAGCTATGGATGCAGCATATAAAGCCCCTGTGTGCGGCAACAAAGTGGTGGAGCGGGGAGAGGCTTGTGACTGCGGTTCAGTAGAGGTTAGTTAGTTGTGGAGCCTTGGGACAGCGCAAAGAGCCAAGCCACGTGTCCCGAGGGGAAAGAGCAATCCCAAGAGAGGTGTGAATCCCTCCCATACCTTCCAGACCTCTGTGCAGGGCAGGGAGGGCCCAAGGCTTTATGGAACCCTAAAGCCAGGCAGACGCTTGCCTATGGTTGCCACCATGTCTGAAGCAGCAGTCACAGAGGGCCGTTGTGTGGTGTTGGGGATGGGTGGATGGAGGGAGTTTGTAAGCGGTTGTAGCTGTAGAGAGGGGCTGCCCGCAGCCCCCCGCTGCAGGGACACCACCTGAAGCGGCGCTGGGTGGATTACCCTAGGGACCTGCCAAGGCGCCCTGCTGCAGATACCACTGGGGAAGCAGTTTTGCACAGCAGTGTGGCACGTGGTGACGCTCTGGGGAGAAACTCTGTGACTGCAGCCTGCCAAAAAGGCAGGGGTGCTGTAGCGGCCGTGTGGTTTGCTGGCAGGGCAGAGGCAGCGGGGGAGGTCTGGTAGAGGAGCAGTACTCCTGTTGCAGAGGAGAACTGGAGCAGTGGATGAACTCCTCTGTTTTGCTAGAAGCCCCCCCTTTTGTGCCAGCCTGGGTGCAGCTGTGTGCGCACATCTGCAAGCGATCTCTGTCCCCGCAAGTGCTGCCAGCCCTGGCAACGGCTCCCCCCGGCCTCGAGCGTGCGTGGTTGTGAGGATGGGAAATACGGTCTTGCCGTGGGAGCGTTGATGGCTGGGGGCAGCCAGCGTGGCAGAGGGGCTCTGCCCCGGGACCCCGGGCGCTGCTGGAATGCCTGGGAGATGGCTGCCTCGGATGACAGGGGCTGCCGGAGGGAAGGGCCAAGCTCTCCGGCTTGTTGCCTTGTTGTCCTTGGGAGAAGGGAACCTCACCTGACTGTCCCCACTGGTCACGTCCAGGAAGGCCAGCGTGACCCGTGCTGCACCACTGGCTGCAGGATGAGGAGAGGGGTGCAGTGCCTGTCGGGACCGTGCTGCCGGAACTGCCGGGTAAGCCACGTGGCGGGAGCGGGCACGCTGCGGTCCCTAGGGATAGCCCCCCCATGCCAGCATCACTCGCTTACATGCCTGATGTGAAACGGGAATGTAACGGGACTCAAGGGGGAAAACGGGGACTGTGCCTCCAGCCGACGGTACTTGCTAGTGCGTTGATGCAGAGGGTCAGCAAGTGTTGGAAAGTGAAGTGAGCGCTGTGAAGTGCGGGTGCCAGTTAGGGGCCTGTGTCCCAGGAAAGTATTTTTAGGGGGCAGGTACCGTGCCTGCTCCCAAAGTCCCGAGGTGAAGGAGATGCTGACTTTATGGCCACATGTGAGGGTCGTAGCGGCATTTGGCCTTCCCAGCTGGGCAGCGCAGGGTGCTTGGGGCCGGGCGACTCCTGTCAGTGGTGGCACGTCTGTCCTGTCGCCAAGAGCCGCGCAGGCTGCAGGGGAGGGCGGCAGGGCGGAGGAGCGAGCAGGGGCCATGGCAGCTGGAGCAAAGGCAGGGCGAGTGGAAATCCACGCACGAGAATCGCGCTGCGTCGGGCCATGCGGGTGCCAGCGGTCTTGTGGTGTGCAGGAGTTTGGGGGGGGCTGCAGCTGGGGCCCCAAAGTACCGGCAGCTTTTGTCTTGCAACTGTACAGAGAGGACAGGGTGCAGTGTGCTCGGGAGCCAGAGGAGCTGAGACTTCACTTTCTGGGGGAGAGCCACTGTTTTCTGGACAGTATTTGCTCTCCATGTTGTGTGCATCAGGCCAGCTGGTGTTACCGTGGGGAAGGCTTTGGGGGTCCTTTTGTTTGTGTCGCTGGTTAATGCAGTTGTTGAAAACAGCGGACGGAGCGGTTGGTCTGAAATCTCTCCCTTACGGGCCTCGATTCCAGGCAGCTGGAAGCTGCGTGGTGGAAGCAGGGGGTGCTGGTCGGCAGCGAGCGCAACAGGAGCCAGGAGCGTGCAGCCCGGAGGGCAAACCGCATCCTGGGGGCACCAAACACAGCACAGCCAGCCGGTCAAGAGAGGCCATTATCCCGCTGTATTCAGCGCTGGTGTGGCCTCACCCTGCGCACTGTGTGCAGTGCTGGGCTCCACCGTTTCAGAAGGATGTTCAGGTCCTCAAATGCGTCCAGAGGAGGGCACCAAAGCTGGTGACAGGCTGGAAGGAATGTGCTAGGAGGGGTGGCTGAGGCCTCTGGCTCTGTCTAGGTTGGAGAAAAGGAGGCTGAGGGGCGACCTTGTTGCTCTCTGCAGCTTCCTGAGGAGGGGACGTGGAGAGGGAGGTGCTGAGCTCTTCTCCCTGGGATCCAGGGACAGGATAAGTGCGAATGGCTCAAAGCTGCACCAGGGGAGGTTTAGACTGGACGTGAGGAAGCATTTCTTTACCGAGAGGGTGGTCAAACCCTGGAACAGGCTTCCTAGAGAGGTGGTCGATGCCCCAAGCCTGTCAGTGTTGAAGAGGCATTTGGGCATTCCTCCTAATTCTGTTCTAATCTGTTCTATTGCAATTCTATTCTCTTCTAATCTAACTTAATCTGTTTTCTTTCCTCTAGTTTGTGAAAAGAGGCACGTTATGTAGAAGCAGCTCCGAGGACGAGTGCGAGTTGAAGGAATATTGCAACGGCACCTCTGGGCAGTGCACACCCGACCTCTGGGTCATGGACGGGCATCCCTGCAGCAGGAACACTGCCTTCTGCTACCAGGGAGTCTGCCAGACAGCCGACAAGCAGTGTCAGAAGGTCTTCGGCCAAGGTAAGGGTGACGGATTGCAGGAGGGGAGCTGGCTGTCATGTGGGAAATGCAAAGACCTGGAAGGAAAGCATTGAAGTGGGAAACCCTGGCAGCCCAACTCATGTGCGCGGGCAAAAAGGGAGAGGAGGTACGGAGGAATGGGAGGAGGCGTGTCGGGCTGTCTGTCCATCGCTGTGCTGCCACAGCGTGGGTTAGGCTGGGGGTGTTTGTAAGGGACCGAGTCCCTGCAGCCGGAGCGGAGGTGTCAGTGAGAGAAGAGCTCTCATGGAAGTTGATCTAAGCTGGGTGAAAGAGCAAGCGGCCGAGGGCCTGGTGGAAAAGGCCATGAGTGCACCATGGGAAGGGTGTCCAGGGACAAGGGTGGGCAGCTGGCCGGGCTGTGACTGGCGTAACTGAAGTTGGGGTGGTACACCGCCAGGAGATATGGGGCTGCTTTGGTGGCACGCTGTCAGGTGCAACGCAGTTGTGAGTGTCCTGGGCACCTGGAGAAATGGCTCCCAATGAGCGTCTGCCTCGTGGCCGCAGGGCGAGGTGTGCATGCGTTGTGTTGCAGCACTGGTGCTGTTCCAGGGAGGCTGGCAATGAAGGAGCGGTGTGTAGTGGCAAGTGGTTGTGACAGCCGTTGGTGGGGGACGCTCGTGCAGGATGGGGCTGGCTAGCTGCGAGCGCTGTCCTTTCCGGCCAGGCGGATGCTCTCGTTCTCTGGGACACAATTCCCAGAAATGTCCTGGACGGTCTTGTGGCTATGCCGGGGGGAGCCTGGCGTGGAGCCGATGGGCACGCAGGGGTGCAGATGGGAGGCAGCCAGGGCATCCCACTGGAGCAGGCTGTAGGGAGCATGAGAGCAAGCAGGCTCTGGATGCCTGTGAGCACACAGGTGGCCCCAGGCATCACCAAGTAGCGGGTGTAGCGTGTGGCCTAAGCGGTGATGCCTAAACCCAAGGTGGAGAGGGGCTGTTGGACAGACCATGGGTGTCGTTATGTGTTTGCAGGTGCCAAGAACGGGCCTTTGGCCTGCTACGAAGAAATTAATAGCCAAAGGGACAGAATGGGACACTGTGGCTCCGATCACCGTGGTTACCAGCATTGTGCGTGGAAGTAAGTGCTGTAGCAAGGGTGCCGAGATGCTCTGGCCGCAGCGTGGTCTGCCACGGAGCCGGGAGCCCAGCCCCACAGTGGGGAAGAGGCGGAGCGCGGATGGGGTCCCTGAGCTCAGCCGCCCGTCGGCGGAGAGGAAGGTGCCGTCCCGGGGTTGGGCGGGCAGGGGCACTGGACGTGCCCATGCAGGGCTGGTGAGCGCACGGGCTGGGAGGGGGGATGTGGAAAGGGCCCATGGCGGACGTAAGCATGCCATGTCCACATACTGGGAATCGGGCGTTCGGGGTCCGTTCTCCGAGTACTCGCTCGGTGTTGGCAAGAGAGCTGGAGTGGAAGGATGAAGGTGGCTGTTGTCAATCCTTTGCTCGCGATGCCTTTGCAGGGATCTCCGATGTGGGAAGCTCGTGTGTGAATATCCGAGCTCCAAGCCCTTTACCAAGGAGAAGGCTGCGGTGGTTTACGCTCGGGTGCAGAACACGCTGTGTGTAACGTTAGACTACATGAAGCCTCCCACGGAGAGGGACCCCATGCTGGTGAACGATGGCACTGTCTGTGGTGACCACAAGGTAAGGAAACCCCTGATGTGTAGCAGCTCCCTTGGGAGAAGAAGGACTTGTAGAAAGTACTGCTGCGGTAGCGGTGTCAGGGCCCCGAGGGCAGCAGCTTTTCTGTTGTGTCCACCCTGGAGGAATTGGGATGGATGTATGGGCGGCGTGACCCCCTTCAGACGGGGTCTAGCATGAAGCCTGATGCTCCCTTGTGGGTTCCCGAAAGATCTGCAGCTCTCCTGAGTTGGAGCTGGTGCGTAACCACCCGGCTGGCTGACCAGGGTTGCCTGTGTGCTTGTCCTGTAGATCTGCCTGAACCAGCAGTGTGTGCCTGCCACTGTCCTGAACTATAAATGTGAGGTGAAGACAAAGTGCCACAATCGCGGTGTAAGTCACGGTGCTGCACGTTGTTGTTTGTGGTTTGTTCAACTCTCCAGAGACGTGGCTCGCAAAAGTGGTGTCTCGGGTCATGGCTGTGGGGAAGGGCAGCTGAGGGGGGCTTGGCGATGGAAGTGCCGGACTATCTCTCGAGGCTGCATGTGTAGCACCTCCAGCAGAACGCCTTCGTGGAGCCAGGCGGCTCCTCTTTGTAAATCAGCCAAACAGAAAGGGTCTGAGCCTGCTGGGAAGCTGGAAGAAGCGATAAGGATGGGGAGAAGGCAGCGCCCCGGGAGGTGACAGCCCGCACTGACCGAGGCAAAGGGCCAGCCGTGTGAGCCCCGGGCGAGTTGCGCACGGGGAGGCTTTGCCCGGTGCCAGGTGCCCTGATGTCTGTGCCCCGTGTCTGGCAAGTGAGGACGTGTGAGTATGATCCTCTGCAGCCGGCTAGAACTCCTGTCTCTCCCTGCCTGTCACGCAGGTCTGCAATAACCAAGGGAGCTGCCATTGCCATCCTGGCTGGAAACCACCGACTTGCCAGGAGAAAGCAGGGGCGATGGGTGGGAGTGGCAGCAGCGCGTCCGGAGATGGTGAGTGGCGAGGGCAGCGGCTGCTCGGGGTGAGGGTTCTCATGGGAAGAGATGGTTCTGGGGCCAGGGCGAGGGATTTCTGTTCTGGCGGTGGCTTACCAGAGCAGGGCTGTGTAAGCAAGCGTCTGGGTCCTGTGCTGTATCCCAGGATGGGCGCAGGGAGGTTGTTTTCTTTCCTGTGCCTAGATGAAGCAGACGTCGGGAGCAAGGGCTCGCTGAAGCTGTGGCTGCTTCTGACCTTCTGCCTCTTTGTGCCCATCACCGTCGGGCTCATCCTCATGGCGCTAAGAAGGGGCCAAAGGCGCTGTGTCTCCACCGAGGAGCTGGATGAAGACAAGTGAGTCTGTTCTCTGCACCAAAGGGTGCTGAGGTGATGCTGTGGACGTGGCACGGAGGTGGCTGTAGGCAGCAGGAAAGCTGGAGCCCGCACAAGGACTCTTGCCCAGCACGCCCAAGGCGGGAAGAGAAAGCAGGAGCGATGGATGACAAAGGGACGAGACGGTGCCACCATGGGGCCAGCGACAATGCTGGGAGGATTTTTCCTCCTTGCAGCTCTGGGTGGCTCTACGACTGACAGGAGCTGCCTTCCCGTCCCACTCTAGGTTGGAAGACAAGGACTCTGTGGATGAGGAAAGGAGCGTGTCGGATGTGTAGCGGTGCAGCAGGGAAGGACGTTGAAATGTAAGTCTTTGCCCATGTGGCTGATGATTGTTTTTTTTGTGCAGGGCTTGTGTGGGGGTGGCGGTGAAGCTGGCAGTGGAAATAGTGGAGAGGGAGCCGTTGTGGCTGCCTTGATGTTGGCAGGGGAGCAGCCTTAGTGGGAGCCTCGGGCTGGGGGCCAGGGCACCGCCGGCAGCGTGGTTGTTGGAGTCACGGGTGGGTGGCAGTAGGGTTTCTGCGGCATGTTGGCTCCTGGGTGCCTGCAGATGTGGCCGGTTGAAGCCCCGGGAGTCGGAGTAAGTGGTCAGGAGGTAGCAGTTGGTCAAATGTCCCGGGCATGTGGCAGCGGATGGCAGCCTGGGTGGCAGTGAGTTAGCATGAGCTCTGAGCGGTGAAGCTTAAGAGGTGCTTGCTGGAAGAAGGCGTATGAGTGTAATAGGGAAGTAGGGTGGAATAGAGAGGCCTGGAATAGTGGAGTTACTTGGAAGGGACCTGCGACAGTTGTTTAGTGCAACTGCTGTTCTGTTTAATATGTTTTTTGATGATCTTGACTTGGGAATCGAGCGCACCCCCAGTCAGTTTGGAGCCAACACCCCGTTGGGCGGGAGTGTTGGTCTGCTGGAGGGCATGGGGGCTCTGCAGAGGGCCCTGGCCAGGCTGGGGCGATGGGCCCAGGCCACTGGGTGAGGGTCTGCAAGGCTCAGGGCCGGGTCCTGCACTGGGGGCACAGCAACCCCAGGCACCGCTGCAGGCGTGGGGAGGAGCGGCTGGGAGCTGCCCGGCGGGAAAGGGCCTGGGGGTGCTGGT